AATTAGGGGGNACATTTAAAAAAAATTGAATTTTCTATTTCATTTTATTCCTAAAACTGAATTTATAAGGGAAGATTTATTGAATTAGTTACAAAAAATCTTATTATAATTAAATCAATAATTTTTTTTTGGTTTTCTAGTTTAATACTATATTTAAATAAATAAATATACATCGAATTATTCTTGAATTATTATTTAAAATATTTATCTTTTTCATATTGAGAACTATTCTTGCATATTTGATAATTCTTCTATAATAAAGTACATATTTTTTTTAAAAAAACTACGTATTGTCTCTTTTTAATTTTTATTTATATTTCTTGGTAGAAGTACATATTGTCTCTTACTCGATCGTAAGTATCCGGCTTGTCTTGTCGTCACGAGCAAACGTGTTCAACTTTTTGGCACATTTGGAATTAACACTAATTTTTTTTTCAAGTATATGTGACAATGTACACCAAATTTACCATCATATATACGAAGATACTGAAGCACGGATTAAAGAAAAAAAAAGTGTGTATTCGAATCGATTGGTGCAAATGATAGTTTTTCTAAAACTGAATGCTAAATTTATTGAAAATCCAAATGGTGAATTTATAAAGATGTTTTTTTTTTTGGAACCTTTATCTATAGTTAGTTTCATGTTAGGATGGATAAATACGTTATTTAAACGAGCTTTAATATTTGAAAACATAAATCTGAGGTACAATTTAAATTGATATGATTTGATCCGGACGATAGACAAAAGTTTATAGATCGAAATGTAGAGAGTTACGCCGGTTTATGGATCCAAAAATCTTGAAAATGTTATAATATTTGACTTTTTCAATAAAGAATTGTTTAATTATATATATACACACACACACAAATATAAAGTACGTAAAGTGCGTCCATATTTCCGGTTGGTAGTTGAAGACTTGAAGAGGCCTTCATCAATTCCATCAAGTGACATCTTTCAATTTCTAATAAATGATACTATAAGTTATTCTAAAATTTGAATAGATGATATATTATTGGATCCCATTGATAATACAAACTACAAAGTAACGGTTAAAGATGATAGTAGACTAGTAGTACAAGTGATATAAAAAAGTTAGCACAATAGAAATTAGTAATACTATTTCTTGCAATACTGTCTTTTTACCACAATCGGTATACGTTGATACATTGTATTACAAACGGTACAACATCAGTCGACAATTAATAGTTTTTGGGCTGATATATACTACGATCAAATTTGGGTGTCTCAATATATATGCAATAAGGGGCATTAAATGTGACAGTCAAATTTAATACTCTCTCTGTCCAAAATATAAAATGTTTTAGAGTTTTTATTTTGTTCTATATTATAAGATTTTTTCTAGTTTCTATGTAAAATTTAATGTGTTATGTCCATTAATGTTCTGTAGAATTTTTTTTTATTGGTTGATTTATTTGTA